ATATAACAAGGCTATAGTAACCAAAAGAGCATAGTATTTGTACAAAAATGGAGACATAGACCAAAGGAACTGAACAAAGAACCCAGATATAAAACTGTCTACCTACAACCAACTGATCAAAGCAGACAACAACATACACTGGAGAAGAAAAAACACTGTTCAATAAATTGTGCTGGGAAAATTGGATAACCACATGCAGAACAATGAAACAGGACCCCTATCTCTCACCACATACAAAAATTAATTCAAGATGGGTAGAAGACTTACATGTAAGGCATAAAACCGTAAGAATTCTAGAAGGAAATGCATGGAAAACTCTTCTAGATATCGGCCTAGGCAAAGAATTTATGACTGAGACCACAATGGCAATTACAGCAACAACAGAAATAAATAAATGAGACTTAATTAAATTAAAAATCTTCTGCATAGTTGAGGAAATAATCGACAGAGAAAAGAGACAACCTACAGAATGGGAGAAAATATTTGCAAACTATATATCCAATAAAGGGCTAATATCCAGAATCTACAAAGAATTCAAACAAATCAGCAAGAAAAAAAAAAGAATCCCATTAGACAGTGGGCAAAAGACATGAACAGAAGCTTTTCAAAAGAAGATAGACAAATGGCTAAAAAACACATGAAGAAATACTCGACATCACTAATCATCAGGGAAATGCAAATTAAAGCCACAATGAGATATCACCTTACCCCTGTCAGTGTGGCTATTACTAAAAAGTCCAAAAACAACAGATGCTGGTGCAGATACAGCGAAAGGAATGCTTATATGCTGTTGGTGGATTAGCACAAGCTCAGTGGAAAACAGTATGTATATTTCCCAAAGAACTAAAAGTAGACCTTCTATTCAATCTAGCAATCCAAGTACTGGGTATCTACCCATAGGAAAGAAGTCATTTTATCGAAAGATACCTGCACTTGAATGTTTATTGCAACACAAATCACAATTGCAAAGATGTAGAATGAACCCAAGTGCCCATCATTCATGAGTGGATTAATAAAATGTGGTATATGTATACCATGGAGTACTACTCAGTCAGAAAAGGGAATGAATTAGTGGCTTTTCCAGCAATTTTGATCGAACTGGAGACCATTATCTTAAGTGATGTATCTCAAGAATGGAAAAACAAGCACCACATGTACTCTCTAATAACTTGGAACTAATTAATGGACATACATGGGCACAGAGAGAAGTAAAAATCATTGGAAATCAATAAGAGGGAGGGGGAGGGGGAGAAGAGGAGGGGCAAAAACATGCCTAATAGGTAATATGAACAGTATTTGAGTGATAGACACACTTATTGCCCTAACTTAAACATTATAAAAACTATCCATGTGAAAAAAAAGATAAATGCCTATCTCATCTAAAAATACCTTCACAGAAACATGAGAATAATGTTTGACCAAATATCTGAGTACTGTGTCCTACACACAACTGAAGTTGACACACACAATTAATCATCACATCTGGGATCCTATTACCGGTGCAGATTTTAAGCCCCTACCACAGACTTTCACCCTCACCAACCACCACAAAGTGTGCCCTCCTACCACTACATCACCACCTTTCTTTGATGCAAGTTAGGGTGCTGAGAACAGCCAGACACCACTTCTCCCCACTTTATTTCCTTGCCTGCTCTAAGTTAGAGGTTCCTGCCCTTGGATATGGCCATTGATGGGGTGGAGGGTTCACATCCAACCACTGGCTTTCTCCAGTACAGGGATTACAGGAGGGTGGGATCCAAAGAACCCTTTTTGGAGGGGAAATATGTGGTCATTAAGGGCAAGATGCCACAAAAATCTCATGAGTGGCTAACTAGGATGAATGGAATCCGTATTTACAAAGATCAGCAACCGTTATGCACTAGGGGTGAAGGCAGGAGCTATAGGCGGGGCCCCAGGGGAAAGGGGATCAGTTCAGACACAAGTTCTGGGACAAAGTGTCAGACGTGCAGATTGATACACAGGAGTCAGAGCTTTTCCAAGGGAGGCACACAAGTTAGATGTACATGACAGATGGAAAATGGCATTGTCAGGGCCACTCCCCCTGGAGCTCCTGCAGCCGCTTCTGGGCCCCTTCCCCTCAGAAGCTCCTGGGCTCTGACAAGGGACAGGGAGGAGGGCTCCACCTACTCCCACCGGCAACGCTTTTAAGAAGCACACCTCATTGGAAATGTGTGTGAACTTGATACCATCATATGTGATGGGCAGGAAGGGAAGCAACATATGGGAAATAATGCCTCTTCTCAGACCTAAGCCCTTGTGAATTCCACAGTCCTGGTCTCCCTGCCACCCTATCCCTAAGTGGAGTGCGCCAGGGCCTAGGGCAGCTGTGGCTGGGCCTTCCTCGCTGTGGCTGCCATTTGCTGCTTTCTGTCCTAATCAGCCCTCCCACCCCACACTCCTCACAATTAGCACATAAGTAAACAATGTCATGAATGAAAGAAAGTCATCATTGCAGATCCTACAAAAACATAACATAATAAGTAAGTATAAACAGCTTTATGTCAATAATTTCTATCACCAGAATGAAACGGATACAAAATTGTATCTGCATTATGATTCCATTTATATAAAATGCATGCACATACATATGTGTGTGTGCTTATGTGATGAAATTGTTCCATATGATGCTAAGAATTGGCATTTAACATGTTCAGAAATATGTATCAAAGTACCTGTTGCCCCCCACCACCAACTTCAGAAATAATCTTGGAAACCATACACTTTGCCCCAGCACTTACACTTCCCAGATCTTGTCCTAAGGGACATGTTGCAGACAGAGATGTGTGTGTGTGTGTGTGTGTGTGTGTGTGTGTGTGTGTGGATAGAGAGAGAGACAGAGACAGAGACAGAGTGAAACAGATGGAGAGACTACAGGGTTAGCATTGCCCAGATCATGGGACCACAGGAAATTGGCAGGAGGATGAGTAACTGGAAAACCGTGGCATCACTGATGATGTAGAGAGAAAAAAGATAAAAACTAAACGGTGATACAGTCACAACAAAGGCCTTAGCTAATCCCGTAGGGCACTCTGGAGCTAGGACGGCCTTTCAAAGTTGCCCAGAATTGAAGTGGGAGGTCTGGCCTTTGCATACCTACATCATCCCACCACTGGACATAGGCTGCTTCCAGAAGAGAACATAACCTTAGGAGAGGCAGTTGTCTTCAGATGAGGCCAATTCTCCAAAAGTTGGAGAAATTAAGTGCCTCTGGCCTGAAAAGATGTGACAGGGGGTGGGAGTGGTTCTGGAAGCACAACACAGCAGCCATTACAACAAATGTAATTGTATCTCTGCTAGCTGACTTTTATCTATTAATACTTTCATTAATCTTTTGTATATTTAAAAAAATTCCATTTATCTTCATTTTCCTCTCCTTTATTTCCCTATCTTCACAATGCTTTTTCTCTTCTCTTGTATTCCTTCCAAGTTAGCCTGAGTTGGGCCAGACGCTGCAGTTGATGGGTAACTTGTGAGATCGTCTCTTCCTCACAACGAGGCTGAGAAGTGTGCAGTGTGCTTTCTGTTCCCTAGGTGAGAGGACTGAGGTTTAGAGAGGTTTGGGAACTTGTTTTCGACCAGGGAGGCACTACACGAAGAAAAAGGTTGGCATCGTTCTCTGTGTAATGGCAACTACCCCCCTAGCTCATAGTCTTAAGAAATTCACACTCCAGCACATGGCTCACTAATGTACATGTACATAAAGAATTGAAAAGTGCCAAGTAGTAGGAAATAACTTATGCCAACATAAGAGTGGAGGTATAATCTGTAAACTTGTGGTACCTTACCTCTGTCATCATTTGTAGGACTGTAGCTTGAAAACTTCATACTGCTATTATTTGAATTTCAAAAGTTTATGCCCGCTTATTGGCTAAAGTGCAAGCATTTCAGAAGCATGGAAAATAAGTTGTACGAATGTCCCATTCAACTCTTACCTGAAATTTGGAACTGCTAATTGCCAGTTGTTGAGAAAGGTCCCACAGAACTCACCATAATGTGAACTTTTGTGATATTGTTGTTTGTTTGGAAGTAAAAATAAGTGTCTGAACCCCCTCAACAACATGGACATGGGGCACCTGGTGTCGGCACTCTGAGGAACGCGTTGGGCAGACAGGCTGACTCTCCTTCACCCTACAGGTACTAATGTGAGACTCCTCGCACAGTGCACCTTCAGGAAGTGGGGTGGGGTGAGCGGTGGGATGGTGATGGGAAGACAGATGGAAGCATGTTTAGAGCTGTGAAAAGGCCCATTTCCCATTCACCTGCTTGCAAATCATAAAACTGATTTTGGTATTTTGGTATAGTCTTTGAAAACGTTCAAACGATGAAGAATGAGAAATGAAATGTGATTCCTCTCCCTTCCTCCCTCGCTCCCTCCCTCCCTCTCTTCTTTCCTTTCTTCCTTCCTTCCTTCATGCCTGCCCCACTACCTCCCTGCCTACCTTCCATCCTCCCTTCCTTCCTTCCCCCTTAGTAGCCAGTAGGTATCCCTTGCAAAGCCCCTCTTATGTGAGGTAACATGCCTTCTTTTGCAGGCCTCCAAGGGAGAGCATCTGACAGAGTCCTGCTGTCTCCAAAGGCCAATCTCTGGAAGCAGCGTGTGTCCTTTCTCATCAGGATTTATTGGCAAACTGCCTATGAAGGCAAGCCTGATGTACCTGCTAAGGGGCGAATGGGGGTGGCAGGGCCTTTCAGTCCTGGCCCCATGGGCTTCTGGTTGGGGCAGGGGAAGAGCAATCCAGGAAACACAACGTACAATGTGCAGCATCATTCTTTATTGTAAAAATAAACAGTGATCACGAATGGGGAAAATACACAGAACAACTGGCTCTTTGGGTGGTTACGTGACCTGGCCTACAAGTTAACTTTGGCTTCTTGGCCAGCCTGGCCTCCAACCTCAGTTATGGGCATGCCCTTAGGCTGTTGAAAAGAGAAACGAAAATGATGTGGATGGAGACGAAGACGATATCCAAGGGCTCCTTTCATGGGAATTGTTGGAAGGCCTCCTCTGGGATCTTGCCCTTGGCCTGGAGGGAAGGAGATGGGACTTCAGAAGAGCCAGGTGTCCTGAGTTCCATCCCCAGGCCACCCACCCTCTATCTTCTTGGCCTTCCTGATGGCCAAGAGACATCCATCTTTTACCTGCTTGATTCCCGGACCTCACCTGGAGCAGAGTAAAGATCTGGCCAGCTCTGGTGTAGTTCCACTCGTTGTCCTGAAGGCACCTAGGGTGGGAGAAGAACAGGTGATCTCCATTACTACCCCAGGATGGACACGCTGACCATGCAATGCCACCACTTCACCTATGCTACTTTTTTGCTGGGACACATGTACCAATATGGGCATTATTGTAATGATGAAGAAAGAAAGACCTGGTGAAAACCAACACGTCTATCGCTGACATTCATGTCCACTAGAATTCAAAGCAGGACAACAGCGGTGTTTAAATGGACAAGGGAGTTTAATACATATTGATAAAGAAAGGCGTCTGAGGAAATAACAGATGGAAAATTTAAAATACAAGTTTCCTTTTCACTGAGGTATAACACACATACCGTAGCACTCACCATTTTAAAGTGTACAATTCAGTGCTTTTAAGTACGTTCACAAGATTGTGCAACCATCACAACTATCTAATTCCAAAATATTTTATCACCTCAAAAAGTAACTCCTTAACTCTTAGAGATCACTCCCTATTCTCCCTCCTCCCCCAGACCCTGATGACCACTACTCTGCTTTCACTCTCTATGGATTTGCCTGTTCTGAACATTTCATAATGAAGTCATACAATATGTGGCCTTTTGTGACTTGCTTCTTTCGCCCAGCATAATGTTTTCAAGGTTCATCCGTGTCAGAACATGTGTCAGAACTACATTCTTTTTATGACTGAATAATATTTCATTGTATGGATGTAGCACATTAATTTGTCCATTCCTCAGCTAAAGAACATTTGGGTTGTTTCCACTTTTTGGTTATTATGAATAATGCCACAATGAACATTCATGTGCAAGTGTTTGAATCAACATATATTTTCATTTCTATCAGTAATACTTAGGAGTAGGATTATTGGGTCATATGGTAACTCCATGTTTACCATTTTGAAGAACTGCCAAAATGTTTTCCCCAGCAACCGCTCCATTTTACATTCCCACCAGTAATGCATGAGATTTCCAATTTCTCCACATCACCAACACTTATCTTCCATTTCATTGATTAAAGCCATCTTTGTGTAAACTGGTATCTCATTATAGTTTTGATTTTAAAAAAATTACCATAACAGACTAATAAGAAAAAATAACAAAAAATAAAAAAATACAAAACATAGTTTTGATTTGCATTTCCCTAAAGACTAAATGATCTTGAACAGGTTTTTATGTGCTTTTTGCCCATCTCTTTGGAGAAATATCTATTCAAATAATTTCTCTATTTTTATTTGGGCTGTTTGTCTTTTTATTGTTGAGTTATAAGAGTCCTTGATATATTTTGGATAGTAGACATTATCAGACATGAGATTTCCGAATATTTTCTTCCATTCTGTGGGTCGTATTTTTACTTTTTTGGTAGTGTCCTTTGGTGCACAAAACCTTTTAATTTTGATGAAGTCCAATTCACCTATTTTTTCTTTGCTTGTGCTTTTGGTGTTATATATAAGAAACTGTTGCCTAATTCAAGGTCATGAAGATATACACTTAACGTTATCTTCTCAGAGTATTGTAGTTTTAGCTGTTCCTTTTGGATCTTTGATCTATTTTGACTCAATTTTTGTTAATGGTGTTTGGTAGGGGTCAAAGTTTATTTGTACGTTGACTAGCACTACCATTTGTTGAAAAACTATTTTTCTCCATTACATTTTTTTGGTACCTGATTGAAAATCAATTGAACATAAATGTCAGAGTTTAATTATGGACTCTCAATTCTATTGCATTGATCTACGTATCTATCCAAATGCCAGTATCATGTAATCTTAATTACAGTAGTTTTGTAACAAGTTTTGATACAGGAAAGTGAGTCCACCAATTCTGTCTTTGTCTTTCAAGATTGTTTTGGCTATTCTCAGTCCATTGCTTATCCATACAAATTTTAGGATCAATTGCTCTAGGGGAGGGGCAAGAGGGAGAATGACAAAAACCGCCAACCAGAGTGTCTCTGCAAGAAAGACAGATTTTAGAAGTGAAAAAAAAAAAAAAAAACAGGCAGACAAACACAGATCAGACGAGGGTCAGAAGGAAGGGTGCCTGAAAATACAGGAGACTCCATGGAAAGAAGTTGCGGAGGAGAACTGGAAGGAGAAAGGCCCCCAGGAGGCTTGGAGACCAGCAACGAGGGCAGGTGGAGCTGTTAAACATCCCCTCCCTTGCATCGGGGACTGCTCCTGAGCGGTTGGAGAGACCTGCCAACACCAGCGCAGAGATGGCCACCACCAGTGAGCGGTGAGCCTCTTGCGGACAGGGCACCAGGCTCCCGACTCCCTCGGGGCACCTCCCGGCATGCAGACCAGAGCCAATCGGCAGGCGCCATACTGGTACATCCTCCCCTTCCCCTTCCCTACCTGTGGGTGCCCAGAGAGACAATTTAGTCACCACCCAGAGTCATCTGCAGGGAATGGGACCTTTCTTTTGGGGGCCCTACAGAAGACTGAGGGGTAGTCAGACTGTGGGCTCACTACTCGCCAGACCTCCCAGGTGCCGCTTGCCTGGTGACTCCAGGAGAATGGGGCAAATCTCGAGGGGGAGAGACATTGATACAGCTTAGGTACCCTGTGGGTGACTTAAGACCAGCACTCCTCTCCCTGACAGGGTCAAGGATTGATCTCCAGGGCCCAGGGGACAGGTCTGCAGACCAGATCCTGTACAGCCAGGTCTCAAACGCATTGCCCCAGGGCACAGAAGGAATATTTGTGAACGAGCCTACTGAGGTGTGTCTGCCTTCAGGGGCAGATCAGCATGCTTGAGGGCCAACCCTCCTCCCCCCGATGGGAGGGCCATGGGCCCAGCTCAGGCTGTGATCCTGGGAAGGGACCCTCCTGGCCCGCATCACAGTCAGAGGAGATCCACTGACTTGAGTCCTTCCTGCTGACAGAGGCCCAGGAGAAACCATGGAATAGGAGAGGGTGGAAAGGAGCGAGGCCTGCTCCAGACTGCAGGTCTCAGACAGCCCCACCCCCACACGCAGACTTTTCGGCTGAGTGGGGCCATTTCAGCCCCTCCCTGGCAGCTTTACCCAGAAGCAGAGAACAGAACTTTGACCCCGGCTAACAGCATTTGTGGTGCTTGAGGGCAGGCTCACCCAACCTAGCTCCACCCAGACTCACTCCCCCCCCTGCCACTACTGAGATAGAGAATAAGGACACACCTGGAAGTCCCAGGGCACCACCCACCACCTGAGACACTAGAGTGCCTCTCCAGAGGAACAAGAGCTGGTGACAGGACCCAAAAACAACACTGCAGCCTGCTCCTCCCAGCAAGCGCCACCTAGAGACAGAGAGGTCATTCTGCACACCCTTTAAGTGCATCTACTGACTCATCATACAGGGTGTGGTGGAATCTCACCCACAAACACCACCTACTGGCTCAGAGACTAAACAGCCCATGTCATTATTCAAACAAAAATCTAAAGGTAAGAAACAACAGCTGATCCAGATGGGAAGCCGTCAGCGAAAGGATTCTGGTAGTATGAAGAATCGAATGGAAAGCACGCTCCCAAAGGGGAACACCAGCTCTCTAGCAATGGACATCAACCAAATTCAGAACAGTAAAATGACAGAAGAAGAATTTGGAACATGGATTGTAAGAAAACTCAATGATATGCAAGAAAAAAATGGATAACCAACACAAAGAAACCACACAAAAAAGTCCAGGACTTGGAAGAAAAATTCACTAAAGAAATTGAAATATTAACGAAAAATCAAACAGAACTTCTGGAAATGAAGAATTTATCCAAGGAATTACAAAACACAGTGGAAAGTCTCAAGAACAGGGTAGATCAAACAGAAGAAAGACTTTCAGGGATTGAAGATAACACCTTTCAATTAAATAAGTCAGTCACAGAGATAGAGAAGAGAAATGAGAGAAAAGAGTAAAGCCTACAAGAAATGTGGAATTATTTGAAGAGGCCTAACATGAAAATCATAGGCATCCCTGAGAGTGAAGAAGGAAATACACAAGGGTTGGATAAGCTATTTGAGGATATAATATAGGAAAAATTCCCAGGCCTTACTAAAAATCTAGATATCCAGGTACAAGAAGTTCAAAGGACTCCTGGGAGATTCATCACAAACAGGAAGACACCATGACACACAGTCATCAGACTGACCAAAATAACCACCAAAGAGGCCCTCCTAGACGCTGTAAGGCAAAAGCAGCAGATAACATACAAAGGAAAATCCATCAGAATAACGTCAGATTTTACATTGCGACATTACAAGCAAGAAGAGACTGGGGCCCCATTCTGACTCTTCTCAAATGGAATAATGCCCAGCCTAGAATCTTGTACCCCACAAAACTAAGTTGTGCAAGTGAAGGAGAAATAAAGACCTTCTGAGACAAGCAATGACTCAGGGAATTCATCAAGACAAGACCTCCCCTCCAGGAAGTACTTAAAACAGTATTACACATGGATCAGCACAATAAACACTCACGAATGTATAATCATCCAAAAGCTAAAGGTCAAAGGCCGGATACCACAATGGCTCAAGAGAGAAAACAAGGCAACAAAGTTCAACTCAACAGGATGAACAGAAATCTGCCCCATTTATCAATTCTCTCAATAAATATTAATGGCTTGAACTGCCCACTAAAGAGACATAGGCTGGGTGAATGGATAAATATACATGAGTCAAGTACCTGCCGTCTTCAGGAAACACATCTAACCCACAAGGATCCATTCAGACTAAAGGTAAAGGGATGGAAAACAATATTTCAAGCAAATGGAAGCCAAAAGAAAGCTGGCGTGGAGGTTCTGATTTCAGATAGCTTAGTCTTCAAATCAACAAAAGTGATGAAAGACAAAGAGGGTCACTATATAATGGTGAAGGGTACCATTCAACAAGAAGAAATAACAATTCTAAATATTTATGCACCTAACTCAGGTGCACCCAGATTCATAAAGCAAACCTACTTGATCTAAACAAAATGATAAACAGCAACACCATAATAGCCAGAGACTTCAAAACTCCTCTGAGAGAAC